CATCATCGCTCTGGCATAAACTGGCCTGCGTGGACCCCCCACCGAATCTGCTGGCGAACCTGCAAGCCGTGCTAGTGGACTTCTTCTGGGATCGACTGCACTGGATTCCGCAGGGAGTTCTACATCTGCCAAAAGAGGAAGGGGGGCAAGGACTCGTCCACTTGGCTAGCAGGGCCGCTGCCTTCCGACTCCAGTTCATCCAGAGACTTCTTGCTGGTCCCAGTGAGCTGGTTTGGAGGGTGGTATCATGCACAATATTACGCACAGTAGGTGGTCTGGGGTTGGACAGAACATTGTTTTTAATGAGCACAAAAACACTGGGCATTGCTGGGTTGCCTGTTTTTTATCGAGGACTTTTTAAAATCTGGAACTTTTTTAATGTGAATAAACAGGCTGGCTCCGCTTTGCACTGGCTGTTGGAGGAGCCTCTTTTCAACGGCACACGACTGGACTTGGAGGGCACGATCACCCCTGCACTGACTAGAGTCTTGTTGTCATCGGGAGTCACAACCCTCCGCCGGCTGGTGGACGTTGCCGGACCAGATCTCACTCGGGTGGAGGACGTGGCTGCGAGGCTGGGGATGAGATCTCTGCGAGTTGTGGCTCAGCTGCTCGAGGGCTGGAGGACAGCTCTCTCTCCTGAGGAACGCGAGCAGGTGAGGGACTACAGTGCAGGGGTGGTCAGTCCTACAGAGCATGACCCATTCCCAGACATCACTATCACGCCGGACCTGCAGGACTGTGAAGGCCCCCTTCTGGAGTGTGAGGGGGAGTCTAGAATGAACTTGGGGACAGTGTCTGGTAAGCTGCTGTACAGAGCCTGTGTGAAGGTACTGAATAAGAAAAGACTGCACAGTAGAACCGACACACCATGGCGTGATGTTTTTAATCTGAGTGATGATATGAAGCCGGAGTGGAGAGCGCTGTATAAACCACCATTGACTAAAAAAGTAGCTGACCTGCAGTGGAGGATTTTACACGGTATTGTCTCAGTCAGTGCTTTTATTTCTGTTTTAAATCCTGAGATTTTACCACAGTGTCTGTTTTGTCCTCAGAGAGAAACTGTGTTTCATGCTTTTATGCAATGTTTTAGGCTTTGCTCTTTGTTTGAAGTTTTAAAGACTGTTTTTAGGTCTCTTAATGTGACTTTTACACTCCACACTTTTATCCTTGGTTTTAAATACGTCAAAAGAGAGAAATCCAAATGCCAACTGATCAACTTCATCCTTGGGACGGCAAAAATGGCCATATATATCACTCGTAAAAACAAGGTGGCGCATGGTACTGACTGCGAGGCCACAAGGATTCTCTCTAGGCTGGTCAGATCAAGGATTTGAATTGATTTTAATTATTATAAAAGCATGTGTGATGTGGAGGCCTTTGAGGCGATGTGGTGCTGTGGTGGGGCCGTGTGCTCGGTGTGCGAGGATGAGCTCTGCTTCGCTCCTGAGCTCAGATGAGCCGGACTGAGTTTTATTTGTTTTCCTGTTTTTATCTATTTATAAAGTGTTTGTCTTATTTTTATTTAATCAATTATTTTATTTCAATATAGCCTAAGATGACACATTGTGACGGATGACTGTTTTAAAAAAAATGCTGGTTCAATAAAGAACCGTCAAAAGTCAAAGTCTCTCTCTCTCTCTGAAACCACTCTCTCTCTCTCTCTGAAACCAATCTCTCTCTCTCTCTCTCTCTCTCTCTCTGAAATCTCTCTCTCTCTCTCTCTCTCGCTTTCTCTCTCTCTCTCTCTCTGAAATCTCTCTCTCTCTCTCTCTCTCGCTTTCTCTCTCTCTCTCTCTCTCTGAAATCTCTCTCTCTCTCTCTCTCTGAAACCAATCTCTCTCTCTCTGTCTGAAATCAATCTCTCTCTCTCTCTCTGAAATCAATCTCTCTCTCTCTCTCTCTCTCTCTCTCTCTATGGCCCGAGCGAGCGATGTTTGCCTGAATTGCCACATTGGAGCCTCCAGAGCTGCTAGAGTCACCAGAGTTTCAACCACCATGAAGCTTCACGCTGTACAATGCTGTGCAAACCTCACCCTAATGAACTGACCCTCCTGATGCTGCTGCTGCTGCATAAACTCAATCTATCTAATTAACCATTGCTCCACCTGTTTTTCCTGTTTTGTATTATAATATTTTATAATAACGTTGTTTGCTATCCGGTGTTGACCAAAGGAGGATGGGTTCCCCTTTTGAGTCATGGCTCCTCTCAAGGTTTCTTCCTCTTGCTCTTAGGGAGTTTTTCCTTCCCAATGTCGCCATTGGCGGCGCTCATGGGGGCTTGGACTCGGATTTTTCTGTAAAGCTGTTTTGTGACAACACCTGCTGTAAAAAGCGCTAAATAAATAAACTTTGACTTGACTTTGACTGGTCTAGTGCTGTCTGTCCATTTCTCTGTGAAAACAGCTGTACAGAATAAACCACTGCAGATTCCATTGTGGTTCTGTCTCATTCAACACAGCACAGAGTGGAGCTGTGAGGGAGTCTGGGTTACACATATGTACATGAACAATGGAGCAACAGGAGCACCTGCTCCCCCAAGTTTATTTAGAAGGGGAGGGGTTACTAATGCTCACTGTCCACTTTATTAGAAACACCTACTACATAAATAATAATACTTGTTGCTTGTGTTTCTGTTTAGTCTTCAAAAATCTGTTCAAAGAGCTTTTCACAAAAAATAATTTCTCAGCCAAATAACTTCTCCCCAAAATAACCACTGTTCAGTAAATTTGATAGAATTTTACTATGGAAATTAGATGCAAATAAAAGGTGAACAAAAGTTTAAAAAACAATATATGTTAAACAGTCATATAACTGTATAATTTATGTTCTTTATTTCAGCAATAACAAATAACTGAGAATGTTGTGTCCATAAAACGTTTCAGTATCTGGTGTAGTTTAGCAGCAAAATCAGCATGGATCCACCGCAAAAAGGACAACAGTATAAAAAATACAGCCATACTTAGTGTGAACCGTCCCCTAACACTATAATGCTATAAAACTAGAGCCACACTTAGAGTGACCTCTTCCCTAACATTATAACACTATAAAAACTAGAGCCATACTTAGAGTGACCCCTTCACCTAACACTATAATGATATAATAACTAGAGACATATGTAGAGTGACCACTCTCCTAAAACTATAACGCTATAAAAACCAGAGCCATACTTAGCGTGACCCCTCCCCTAACACTATAACGCTATAAAAATAGAGCAATACTTAGCATGACCCCTCGCCTAACACAATAACATTTTAAAACTAGAGCCATACTTAGCGTGACCCCTCACCTAACACTATAACACTATAAAACTATAGCCATACCCACCGAGACCCCTCCCCTAACACGGTAACGCTATAAAAACTAGAGCAATACTTAGACTGACCACTCCCCTAACACTATAATGCTATAAAAACTATAGCCATATTTAGAGTGACCCCTCCCCTAACACTATAACGCTATAAAAACTAGAGCAATACTTAGAGTGACCCCTTCTCTAACACTATAATGCTATAATACTAGAACAACACTTAGAGTGACCTCTGACCCAACACTATAACGCTACAAAAATAGAGCCATACTTAGCATGACCCCTCCCCTAACACTGTAACGCTATAAACACTAGAGCGACACTTAGCATGACCCCTTCCTTAACACTAAAACGCTATAAAAACTAGCGCCATACTTAGTGTGACCCCTCCCCTAACACTATAACACTATAAAACTAGTCATACTTAGCGTGACCCCTCCCCTAACACTATAACACTATAAAACTAGAACCATACCTAGCGTGACCCCTCCCCTAACACTATAACGTTATAAAAACTATAGCCATATTTAGAGTGACCACTCCCCTAACACTATAACGCTATAAAAACTAGAGCCATACTTAGCGTGACCCCTCCCCTAACACTATAACACTATAAAACTAGAGCCATACCTAGCGTGACCCCTCCCCTAACACTATAACGCTATAAAAATTAGAGCAACACTTAGAGTGACCACTCCCCTAACACTGTAACGCTATAAAAACTAGAGCCATATTTAGAGTGACCACTCCCCTAACACTATAACGCTATAAAACTAGAGCCATACTTAGCGTGACCCCTCTACTAACACTATAACGCTATAAAACTAGAGCCATACCTAGCGTGACCCCTCCCCTAACACTATTACGCTATAAAAACTAGAGCAATACTTAGAGTGACCACTCCCCTAACACTGTAACGCTATAAAAACTAGAGCCATATTTAGAGTGACCCCTCCCCTAACACTATAACGCTATAAAAACTGGAGCCATACTTAGCGTGACCCCTCCCCTAACACTATAACACTACACTATAATACACTATAACACAATAATACTATAACACTGCAAAAATAGAGCCATACTTAGCGTGACCCCTCAACTAACACTATAACGCAATAAAACTAGAGCCACACTTAGCGTGACCCCTCCCCTCACACTATAACGCAATAAAACTAGAGCCACACTTAGAGTGACCCCTCGCCTAACATTATAACGCTATAAAACTAGAGGCATACTTAGCTTGACCCCTCCCCTAACACTATAACGCTATAAAACTAGAGCAATACTTAGAGTGAACCCTTCCCGTAACACTTTACCACCATAAAAACTAGAGCCATACTTAGAGTGACCCCTCCCTTAACACTATAACGCTATAAAAACTAGAGCCAAACTTTGATTGACCCCTCCCCTAACACTATAACAATATAAAACTAGAGCCATACTTAGCGTGACCCCTCCCCAATGTACCACCATATATACTGACAACATAACAATCAGTCATAACTCCAAAAATAGGGGTTTCTATTAAAGTGGCCAAGCAGTGAACCTGCAGCTCTTCATAATAACTAAAACTATAATAACAAAAAATTGATTTTTAATTGTCTTAACTGAAGATCTAATGTGTTCAGCCCTGATCAATCATCAATAATCAGATATTAATCTGCTGTATTAATGTAGATGTAACACTCACCGAGCTTTTCTGCAGACAGTCAGAGCTGGGATCAGTCTTCTATAACCCTCCTCTGATGTGTTGTATTTCTTCAGGTCCAGCTCATCCAGAACCTCCTCTGAGGTCAGAAGCATGCAGGCTAGTGCTGAACACTGTCCAGGAGAGAGCTTCAACCCTGAGTGTCTCTCCATGTTTAGATACTCCTGAATCTCTCTGGAGAGAGACTCGTCATTCATTTCAGACAGACAGAGGAATAGATTGATGGATCTCTCAGTGGAGATGATGGATCTTTCAGTGGAGAAGGGATATTGTTTATAATCATAATCATCATCATCTTTATTAGCATTGCTATCATAATCTCCTTTGATTAATCTCTTGATGTGCTGTCTGGTTCTCTCTGAGCTGCCCTTTGTTGGGGTCAGTAGACCCTGTAGGCGTCTCTGATTGGACTCCAGTGAGATGCCCAGCAGGAAACGGAGGAAAAGATCCAGGTGTCCATTTTCACTCTCTACAGCTTTATTTACTGCTCCTTTCAGAACCTCATCTAGAGGAACATCCTCAGACCACTTTTTCTGTTTGTTAAAGAACCTTACTAGAATATTATTAGACCACTCACTGTTTAGTGGGTTAAATATCTGCAGTTCCTCCATGTTTTTGCTCTCATAGCAGTGAAACACATAAACAGCAGCCAGGAACTCCTGAAAGCTCAGATGAACAAAGCAGTAGACCTTCCTCTGGTAAAGCACACATTCCTCCCTAAAGATCTCAGTGAAAATCCCAGAATACACTGAGGCCTTAGTGACATCAATGCTGCTCTCTCTCAGGTTCTCTTCATAGAACATCACATTGCCCTTCATCAGCTGTTTGAAAGCCAGTTCAGCCAGTTTCAGTATAATGGTTCTGTTGGACTCCAGCAGGTTCTTTGGGTCTCTCTCATCGTTCTCCTCATACTTCTCATTCTTCATGTTTGTCTGAGTGATCAGGAAGTGTGAGTACATTTCAGTCAGAGTTTTAGGGATTTCTGTATGACGCTGTTCCATGATTTGCTGAAGAACAGTGGCTGAGATCCAGCAGAAGACTGGAATGTGGCACATGATGTGGAGGCTCCTCGCTGTCTTAATGTGGGAGATGATTCTCTTGGCTTGGTCTTCATCACTGATCCTCTTCCTGAAGTACTCCTCCTTCTGTGGGTCACTGAATCCCTGAATTTCTGTCACACGCTTGATGTATTTAGGGGGGATCTGATTGGCTGCTGCTGGTCGGGAGGTTATCCAGATCAGAGCAGAGGGAAGCAGCTCTCCTTTGATGAGGTTTGTCATCAACACACCCACTGATGATGTCATGGTGATGTCAGATACTTTCTCACACTGTTCAAAGTTCAGTGGAATTCTACTTTCATCCAGACCATCAAATATAAACACAGCTTTGAGCCGATCATAAATCTCTGGGTCCAGATCTTTGAGCTCAGGATGGAAGTCACACAGAAGTCCATGAAGACTGTACTGATCATCTTTAATCAGGTTCAGCTCCCGGAACGGAAGCACAAACATGAGCTCTACATCCTGATTGGCTTTTCGTTCAGCCCAGTCCAGAATGAACTTCCGCACAGAGACAGTTTTTCCAATTCCAGCGATGCCTTTAGTCAGAACACTTCTGAACTCAGGCTCTTTTGGTCTGTTATCTTCTTTTCTTTCTTTGTGTCTGAGACTGTCAGCCTCCACAGCTCTAATGTTCTCTTCTAGTTTTTCTCCTTGAGGACCTTGTAGAGGTTTAAAGATGTCTAAGCAGTTGATTGGAGAGTTGTGTAAGCGTCTCCTGGATGTTTTCTCCATCTGTAGAACCTCATGTTCTTCATTCACTCCTTCACTCTCTCCCTCTATGATGTAGAGCTGTGTGTAAATCCTGTTCAGGAGGGTTTTATTCTCTTCTGTTATGATTCCCTCAAATAAGATCTCGTACTTGTTCTTCATGCTGGTTTTGTGTCTCTCTAAGACTCTATGAAGGACGTCATCCACTGGTTGGTAAATATCTGCCAGAGTGTTTATCTGCAGTGCTGTTTGTGTGGAGTGCTGCCTAATGAGGACCAAACACAGTAACATAAACATCATTAACACAAATACCCATAATAAACTTCTAATCATGTATTTAATTAGATTTGAGCTATTTAGGTAAAATGATACTTTTTGGTTGACCTCAGATTGTCAAGAAAATGTAACATGTTGTGCTTTTAATTTCTCCAGAACGTGAGGCACTGTTTAGGTCTTTATCTCACTAAGCTGACATTAAGTTAGTCAATAGCCACGTTTACCTGCAGCCTGATAATCCGTTAATAATCCAACTAATAGCTCAAACAGAATAGCACACGTCCATGTAAACACCTCAATCGGAATAGTCTAGTCCGATTGAGGCCATTCGGAATACAATTTCTATCTGATTAAACGAGGTGGGTAAACTTCTAAATAATCCGTTAAATAGAAGAATAATATCCATGTAAACGCCTGGATCCGATTACATTCCAATCGGATCGTGTAAGTACGTTCTGCGCATGTGCGTCGTGTCATGGCGAACGTTTATACCGTTCAGCATGGCGGAGCAGAAACTGGTCTGCAGAGGAGACGAAGTTTATACTCTGATCTTTAACGGACTTCCAGCTTATGTGTCTCAGAACACGACGTCTTCCTCTCGGCCTTCTTTAATAAGGACATGTGAAGGACGTTTTACTGAGTCTGACATCATTTTAAAGCCATTAAAACTCCTGCGCGCCAAAATGTGGAAACACATCTCACGCGGACTGGACCTCACGTGATGTTCGCTGTCATGGTAACGTTTACTCTAAGCGCTACTCCACGCACGCGCGTCATTTTGCATCGGATTACTTGTAGTGAGCATGTAAACGAAGATTTTTCAACAAATTGTTGAATAGAGTGTGCATATAAACACCTCAGTCTAAGTCTGTAATCGGATTGTATTCAATCGGATTGGCAAAAATCTTTGCATGAAAACACAGCCACTGAGACTCTGCAGTCTTAATGACACAAATCTCAGTGTACAGTGAAAATAACCAACCTATTGGTAGAAGCGGCTCAGCAAAATGTTTGTGAGCATGTTGAAAGTGACTATTATTATTATTATTATTGTTATTATTATTATTATTATTATTACTATCATTAATAGTAGTAATAATAAATATTATTTAACCATACATCGAATTAAAGCATAAATCAAATTAAATAAATTCATGAATAAACAAATTAATAAAAATTCAAAATAAATTGAAATATGTAAAAGAATAAATTCTTGAAATTTATAAAATTGTTTAAAATGTTCATTAAAATGTCATTAGTCAATTTACATTTTGTATTTTAATTTTTCTGTTTCTACTTCTGAATGGTTTTTGTTGCAATAAACATCATCAAACATAAAATTTGGATTAAATTAACATTGTTATGAATTATTGATTAACATAAGTACATCATAGTCTCCAAATGAATGGAAGTGAATGGGGAGCTTCTCTGAAATGATCCTCTCACGCCTGAGAAGCTAACTTATATACACTGGAAGTGCAAATGCTGGGGGCTTGAAGTAAAACAGCTCCCCCTTTTGGATCCTTACAGACATAATCTATCAACTTTCTTTCACTTTCTTTAAACCTAATAGTCAAAGCAGATCTGTTTGTTTTTTTATAGATCTTACAGATTAAAAAAGCATTTAGAGCTGGTTTAATCAACCATTAGTCACAACAATTCTTCTGGTTGTAAAACTCAAATATATACTTATACTTAATTTCTTATTTGGTGTTTTTATATTTGTACTTAAATTGACTGTAACCTTGACTGTACTTATCCATGTTTGTCTGCACTGAACAGTAAAGTAAGTTACACATATATGTTAAAAACATATATATATATATATAATATATATATATATATATATAAAATCGATCACAAGAAAAAAATCCTTCTAGTTTAAATGAACTGACCATAATTAAACTTTTAAACTCATTAAACTCATGATGCATGTGTTTCATGACCCCAAACACACAGCACTTTTGGATAAACAGACTCCAGGTTGAGAGCAGGTCATCCACCCTCTCCTGTCAGTGATACCCTGATGACCTGCGAGAGCCCAGACAGCACCAATACACCCCTTTCCATCCATCATCTAAACCGCTTAGCCTATCCCAGCTGTCATTGGGCGGAAGGCAGGATACACCCTGGACAGGTCGCCAGTCCATCGCAGGGCAGACAGACAGACATACACATTCACACCTAGGGGCAATTTAGTGTGTCCAATTGGCCTGACTGCACGTCTTTGGACTGTGGGAGGAAACCAGAGTACCCAGAGGAAACCCACGCAGACACGGGGAGAACATGCAAACTCCACACAGACATGACCCTGGTCACCCGGCCGGGAATCGAACCCAGGCCCTTCTTGCTGTGAGGCAACAGCGCTAACCACTGCACCACCGTGCCGCACACCCCTTCAGGACCCTGTTAAATATTAGTGAGACTCAAACTGACAGTCGTTTATCCAGAGCCCAGTGGTGTGTCTCTGAGGAGCGACTGGTCTATGATGGAGCTATTTGGTCCTAATACATTTTGTAAAAAATCATGTTTAACAGTGGGTGAATAAATATGTGGTATATAAATTCAGAAGGTAAATAAGAGTCTGTAATGTTTCTGTCATTGTGTGTCACAGGACTGAATGCTCAGGCATGACCATCACTCTTTACAGACACACAGCTGGACACTGGAGGAAGGTCTCTCAGGTTTGAGTTCTGATATTAAATATGTGAGAAACTCCAGTCTTTATAAACTGATCTACAGCCCAGAGCTCAGATACATGTTTACAATGATTCACTGTCAGAACTGCTGTTTACTGCTAGCAGTTATTTACCCTGAGTCAGAGGTTCCTCTCCCTCCACTGGACTGTGCTGGTAACATCATGGACCGGTCACTCTTCATAGACACACAGCTGGGTTCTCCTCCTCCTCTGCTGAAATTAATAGGGTTACTCATAGAACGATCACTCTTCACAGACACACAGCTGGGTTCTCCTCCTCCTCTGCTAAATACAGGAGGGTCCCCCATGGACTGGTCACTCTTCATAGACACAGAGCTGGGTTCTCCTCCTCCTCTGCTGAAATTAATAGGGTTACTCATAGAACGGTCACTCTTCACAGACACACAGCTGGGTTCTCCTCCTCCTCTGCTGAAATGAATAGGGTTCCCCATAGACCGATCACTCTTCATAGACACACAGCTGGGTTCTCCTTCTCCTCTGCTGAAATTAATAGAGTTCCTCATAGAACGGTCACTCTTCACAGACACCCAGCTGGGTTCTCCTCCTCCTCTGCTAAATACAGGAGGGTCCCCCATGGACTGGTCACTCTTTATAGACACAGAGCTGGGTTCTCCTCCTCCTCTGCTGAAATTAATAGGGTTACTCATAGAACGGTCACTCTTCACAGACACACAGCTGGGTTCTCCTCCTCCTCTGCTGAAATGAATAGGGTTCCCCATAGACCAATCACTCTTCACAGACACACAGCTGGGTTCTCCTCCTCCTCTGCTGAAATGAATAGGGTTCCCCATAGACCAATCACTCTTCATGGACACACAGCTGGGTTCTCCTTCTCCTCTGATGAAATTAATAGAGTTCCTCATAGAACGGTCACTCTTCACAGACACCCAGCTGGGTTCTCCTCCTCCTCTGCTAAATACAGGAGGGTCCCCCATGGACTGGTCACTCTTCATAGACACACAGCTGGGTTCTCCTTCTCCATTGCTGAATTTAGGAGGGTTCCCCATGGACCAGTCACTCTTCATAGACACAGAGCTGGGTTCTCCTCCTCCTCTGCTGAAATTAATAGGGTTACTCATAGAACGGTCACTCTTCACAGACACACAGCTGGGTTCTCCTCCTCCTCTGCTGAAATGAATAGGGTTCCCCATAGACCGATCACTCTTCATAGACACACAGCTGGGTTCTCCTTCTCCTCTGCTGAAATTAATAGAGTTCCTCATAGAACGGTCACTCTTCACAGACACCCAGCTGGGTTCTCCTCCTCCTCTGCTAAATACAGGAGGGTCCCCCATGGACTGGTCACTCTTCATAGACACAGAGCTGGGTTCTCCTCCTCCTCTGCTGAAATTAATAGGGTTACTCATAGAACGGTCACTCTTCACAGACACACAGCTGGGTTCTCCTCCTCCTCTGCTGAAATGAATAGGGTTCCCCATAGACCAATCACTCTTCACAGACACACAGCTGGGTTCTCCTCCTCCTCTGCTGAAATGAATAGGGTTCCCCATAGACCAATCACTCTTCATGGACACACAGCTGGGTTCTCCTTCTCCTCTGATGAAATTAATAGAGTTCCTCATAGAACGGTCACTCTTCACAGACACCCAGCTGGGTTCTCCTCCTCCTCTGCTAAATACAGGAGGGTCCCCCATGGACTGGTCACTCTTCATAGACACACAGCTGGGTTCTCCTTCTCCATTGCTGAATTTAGGAGGGTTCCCCATGGACCAGTCACTCTTCATAGACACAGAGCTGGGTTCTCCTCCTCCTCTGCTGAATACAGGAGGTTTCTCCATGGCCTGGTCACTCTTCGGCAGACAGCTGGGTTCTCCTTTACGAGGGTTCCCCATGGACCAGTCACTCTTCATAGATACAAAGCTGGGTTCTCCTTCTCCACTGCTGAAATTACGAGGGTCCTCCATGGACTGGTCACTCTTCACAGACACACAGCTGGGTTCTGGAGGTCCTGCACGCTTCACTCTGAGAAAAGTTCATCCACAGTGAGATTAAAGTGCTGAGTAATTATGTTCTTCACTGAGAGTCATTTATTCTGATCATAAGTCATGATTTGCTCTTTCTGTTTAATCAGGTTAAGAGCTGATATAAAGTTACTCACTTTGAATCAGAGGTTCTTCCTCCACTGATGGAGTGATGAAGCCCCATCACTTAGCTTTTACTCTCCACACACAGCTGGACACTGGAGATGCTGCTCTCTGTCAACAGTTCATCCATAAATGTGTGTAAGATGCAGAAAGAATCTTTGTACGCTAGTGAACTTGTTAACTTATCATGAAATAATACAAAAATCTTTTGACAATGGATTTTTTTAATTTTTATTAAAATAATCCACCACTATCTACTACTAGGGATGATGAAGCAGACATAGGCAAACAGGCTCTAGATCTACTGGCACCATCACATCTTCTGCTGCTCCAGTCTTTATTAATCATAATCAGTCATTTTATGATATTAATCAGTGAATGCTGTGTAGAGCTCATACTGTCCATGACAAGTTCCACTTTATACATGAACTCTGATATCGAACTTCAAAACACTTCAATGTAAAAGCCAAATAAAAACACAAATGTTATAAAAAATGATTTAAATGAGGTGAACAGTCTATTAATACAGATGAGATGTGATACTGGGTGATAGGAACAATTATTTTGTGGAGATGTAAATCTCATATTTCAGCTTCATCTGATCTCCATAATAATAAAATATCTCTGTGTAATATTGATCCAGAACTGTGTGGTCATTCTCAGGTGGATGGTGTTGGAGTGGAACCTGATCTCTCAGTAAATCAAGCAAGCAAAGTTTATTTATATAGCGCTTTTTACAACAGGTGTTGTCACAAAGCAGCTTTACAGAAAAATCTGCATTACAGAAACAAAATCCGGGTCCAAGCCCCCATGAGTGTCGCCAGTGCCGACAGTGGCAAGGAAAAACTCCCTAAGAGCAGGAGGAAGAAACCTTGAGAGGAACCAAGACTCAGAAGGGGAACTCATCCTCCTCTGGTTGACACCGGATAGCTGTTTGCTATGTTAGTAGAGGTATTATAGTACAAAGAGGGAAAAACAGGTGGGGCAATGGTTAATTGGATTAGTTTATGATTATGCAGCAGCAGCAGCATCTGAGGGTGAGGATTGCACAGTGTTGTACAGCATGAAGCTCAATGGTGGTCAAGCCGGTCCAGAAGGCTGGCGAGCAGTGTCCACCTGATAAAGGCAGAAGAGGCAACAGCATCAGAAGCACAGGATGGGCAGCTGTTCAACTTGGAAAAGAAAGGAAACACACAGAGAGTCAGTTCTGTAATGAGTGACTGATTACAGATTACAGTATTAACAGAGCAGCAGAGACTCTGTCAGGTCTGGAACTAACAGGGAAAACTAATTACCAAAAGCTTGACTATACAAGTAATTTTTTAGCCTAGACTTAAAGACTGAGGCTGTGTCTGAGTCCCGAACATTAGCAGGAAGATTATTCCAAAGCTGGGGGACTTTGTATGAGAAGGCTCTCTCAGTAGGCGTGATGGTTCATAGTGGGAGAGAAGTTCACTCAGGTACTGAGGGGCGAGCCGTTCAGAGCTTTATAGGTCAGTAATAGAATTTTATAATCGATGTGAAATTTAACTGGTAACCAGTGTAGGGTTGATAAAACTGGGCTGATATGGTCAAATTTTCTGGTTCTTGTAAGGACTCTGGCTGCAGCGTTCTGGACTAGCTGAAGCTTGTTGAGGCTTTTGCTGGAACATCCAGCCAGCAGGGCATTACAGTAATCTAGCCTTAAGGTAATAAATGCATGAACTAGCTTTTCTGGTTCCTGTAGAGATAATGCATTTCTTAATTTAGTAATATTGTGGAGATGCAAGAAGGCGGTTCTAGTAATATTAGTAATATGTGCGTCGAAGGACAGATCAGGATCTATCATGACACCAAGATTTTTTTACAGATGAACTTGATGCAACTGAGGATTGTTAAGTTTAAGTGTAAATGGTCCATCACTCTGAGCTGCTGTAGTTCAGCCGTGTACAGATGACCACTGTACTCAGAGCTAATACAGGCTCAGACTCTCCATTAGGCTACAGTTAGGTTCTCTTTAGTTACACAGGACTAATCCTGTTATGGCATCTTCAGGATCTTCATATAAGAGTAGCTGATAGAAACACTCAGAGACTGATGAACTGAGCTTTTAATCTAGTTTCAGGTACAAATAGGACACATTTAGTCTGTGGGTTCTGTTTGTCTTAATTCTGTACAATTTATGGGCTTCTCTTCCTCATGAATACGCATTTGAGGGATGATGCAAAACATGAGTGGAATCTCCACATGAGCTGCTTTCTTCGCAGAGTGGCTTCGCTCTTAGCGGATTTCTTTGTTAATCATTTAGAGCACTTGTGATGGCGTTTCTCACTATTTTCATAATTTTTAAAAACCAAACAATTGATTAATGGATAAAATAATCCACAAACAAAAATAATGATCAGTTGTGTGTAACAGTTAAAAAGAGCTCCACCTCCACCAACTACAACAGTAAAATCCTGCTTTTACTGTGAAATACTGTATACCAAGATATTTTCTGAGACAGTTATACCATGAAAATGATGTTATCTAGATGAAAGGAGTTCCAGGTGTGGAACCGAAGCTCCTCTCTCCATGTTCTGCAGAACCACAGCTCTGCACAGGTTACTCTGCTCTACCTGCTGAGGTTAATCAGGTGAGGCTGGAAGTGAGGAACACTTCACTGCACCATTCATACTGTAACTCTCTCTACCTCAGTAGAAATGTTCTCCTCTCTGGATCTTCATGGTGGATCACTGACTCTTCATGGACTCGTAGCTGAGATCAGGTAAGTCTGGTCTCTGAATCAGACTGAAACAGAACGATGGATGAAAATCATACTGGAGAAAATATGTATAGAAAATATCACTGATATATACTGTGGAATTTAAAATGTATAAACAGTAAAATTCGACAGTTTAATATTGATAGAGTTCATTAAAAGTATATTTTATTTTTAAATAATTTCTTAACGATCTACACACAAGGTGTTACGGGTCAGCAGACCTGAGCATGAACGAACGAGTCACCCACAGCTCAACTACAGCACGAACGAACAAACGAGTCACCCACAGCTCAACTACAGCACGAACGAACAAACGAGTCACCCACAGCTCAACTACAGCACGAACAAACGAGTCATCCACAGCTCAACTACAGCACGAACGAACAAACGAGTCACTCACAGCTCTACTACAGCACGAACGAGTCACCCAGCAGTTAGCATTTGGCTGTTAGCCGTTAGCGTCTTTTCTCCAGAATAAAAGTCTTTAAGAAGCTCATTCTGAACTATTAATAATCAAAATACGGTGATTTACATAAATTAAAGACTCTCCTCACAGAAAGAAGCTCTGATGCTCTAAAAGCTCCAACATTTCTCTGGGTTTATTGGCTACCTGAGCATTAGCTTAGCTTAGCTTCAGTTATCTGACTTTATCAAACAGACCCTTTCAGCAGAACCTAAAACAGAACCCAGCAGCTGTTCCTCTCAGATTAGTATGGTTCTCATTGTTCTCCTCAGTAAACTGTGAGTGTTGATCTTCAGTAATTACCTCTGAGCTTTTCTCTGTTTATGATCTTCTCTTCTCTGAACAGAGCCTGCTCCACTTTCACTTTCACTCTAAACCGCTTTGATCCATTCTGAACTACGGAAAGAGAAAAGGTTCAAAACACGTTTGTAGGGCCGCGTGTGTTCATCCAATCAGTCACGAGCGGCACAGAAAGTGTTGATCAGTATGATTGATTAACGTTTAATGGGATTAAAATAATGTATTTCACTGAATCTCAGTGATGCCGTGTTTATCTGAGTGTTGAGTTATTTTATCATAAATACATAAATACATAAATAAATTAATAGCAGATTTCTGTCTGATTAGGAAGGAGGTTCATAATAATCGCTGCTTTACTGTCTGACTCCAGCGTATCATCACTGATCTGTTGCTGGTGTGATCCAGACTGAATGATGGTCTATATAATTATCCAGGTGTGTTTTTAGGAGAAACATTTTTACTTTAACCCAGCAGAAACATCCAGATCAGCTCCTCCTGCCATGAACAGCTAAGAGAAGCTCCATAATGGACACCGAAACACACACCATGGCAGAGGAGCGCTGTGACTGACTCTGTTAGACTCCATCAGTAATCAGAGTCAGAGTCAGCCTCATTCTGATCAGCCGGCTGTCATGCCGTAGTTTCCTCCGCTCTGTGTACATTTTAATAGGCTGATTGTTCCCGAGATTCTCTATGAACGGACTTCAGTACATTTTAGACCAGCTGTGTGTCCGACAACCGGCAGCGTTTCAGGGGACGTCTGGTTCCTATCACCACCTCTGAAAAACTTCCCCTTTAAGTGTTAATTATGAATAATACGATCAGATTTTAATATTAGAAACTGATCTGGAAAATTGTAAATATGTAAATATCTGTAAAAATACAGAGAACCTCAAACAGATTATTATACCATTAATTTCAGAGAATTACATTAAAATAATCCGTTTTTAAAATAGTTTATATTTATCTTTATATTTAGATTTGTGTATATCGGAGAGAAATATAAAAAAACAGAAATTTATAATAATAATAATAATAATAATATTGACTCAGTGCTCTTTAAAGGTCCAGCACATCTTCATATTTCTGATTCAGTCCAACTTTTACTGACAAAAAGATTCTTTGACTCTTAAAGTCTCACTTATAAAATTCAGTTTCTTTACACACTTGAGTTTTTAGATTATTTAAATTAAAGATGAATCTACATAATGCAATTCTTAAGATTATTTAAATTAATTTAAGATGAATCTAAATAATGTAATTCTTAAGATTATTTAGTATAATTTAAATAAACGAATGCAACAAGGAAATGTTAGAATTTTCTGAAGTACATTGAATGAAAGAATAATTGTGAATTAATTAAAAATCCAGTTAATATTTTTAATTATTTTATAATTGAATTTAATAATTTTAAATCATTAAAATTAATTTAATTATTATGTAATTAATTTGCATATAATTTTAATTAGCTGCTGCATTCTAGTGGATCTTTCCCTTTTTTTAAAGCAGAGATATCAATTGTGTGTTCACGTCCCGATGAAAAGATCTGTTTCCTGTTGCAGAGACAAAAGAGTTTTGTATCAAAGGCCCCACCGGCTCCCATAAAGCTAGATATAGATCAGGAGGAATACCGTCTAACCCTGGGGTCTTCCCCCTCTTTTGTGTTTGTGACTGCTCCATGACACCTCACAACCCCCCCACCAACAACTCAACATATGTTCAAAAAACATTTCTTAGAAGTATCACAATTGAAGGCCAAATGCTGATGTAGGATCTGAAAGCTGGTGGTTAAGCATTTATTGCCCCTTCCATTTAGAAAAGAAGCCAAGACTTCTGAGGGCCTGAAGATCACGGCAAGCTAGTATTTGGTTTTCAGCCTTGTCCCTACATACAGAGATTTCTCTGGATTCTCTGAATCTTTCACTGATATTGGGTACAGTAGATGATGAAATCCCAAAGTTCTTTGCTATTTTACTGTGAGAAACATTAGTTTTGCATTTTTTCACTATTTGCCTGAACAGTCTTTCACAGAGTGCTGAACCCCTCCTCATCTTCACTTCTGAAAGACTCAGCCTCTCTGAGATTCCCCTTTTTACCCAGTCATGTTACTGACCTGTTGCTAATTAGCCTAATTAGTGGTGAGATGACAACATTTGATATGTTGTCTTGGTACTTCTTTCAGTTAAATACAGGGTTTAATGATTTGTACATCACTGCATTGTTTCTGTTTGTGCTCCTCCTCACCATCTCGACTGTGTTGTAACTGATAGCATTACTGTCGTCTGTATCATCTCATCCATGAGCACCTATTACTGAGGAACGTGTTCCAGAGAAACACACAGTTCACTCCCACCTGGGTGTTGTGCAAGTTTTCAACAAAAAAAAATAAGCTTTTCTTTTGCTTCTTGTTCTTTTACATCCCCTCATCCTGTGCTGTGCTGGCTTAACACTAAGGTTTGATTTTGCTCCAAGGCTGCTAAAGGGCTGTGAAAAGGTACTTGCCCCTTCCTGTTCTATTCCTATGTATTTGTATGTAATATTAGACAAAGAGAACCTTTTGAAACAGAAAAAAAAATGATTTTTACAAATAATTTCATTTATTTTAGAACCGAAGTCATCCACCATGTGAATCACCCATGTGAAAAAGAAAATGGCCTTTAAAACTGATAACTTGCTTCAAGGCCTTTAGCAGCAATAACTGCAAACTACTTTCCTCTAATTTTTATCAGGAAATTTGAGCACACTCTTCTGTGCAGGGCTGCTTTAACTGAGACAGACTGGCAGCTTTTCAAGCATGAATCACCTGTTTGAGGCCCTGACACAGCATCTCTGCTGGGCTCAAGTTAGAGTTTTGACCAGGCCACTCCAAAACCTTTATGTCCTTTCAGCTTCAGCTCATGGACAGATGAGCTGATACTCTCTAAGAATTCTCTGATACAGAACAGAACTTCTCCATGTCTTCTTGTTTATTTAGTTATTTATTTGTGTTGTAAATGTGAGATGAATGGTGGTTTTTGCTTAGCAGGGGTTTCTGCCTTGCTGCTCTTCCATGAATGTCACTGATACCCACCCTCCTACTTCCAGCAGAGTCATGAACACTGACCTTAACTGCAGCATCAGAGACCTGCAGTCCTTTGGATGTTCTCTAGAACCTTTGGTGACATCCTGGATGAGCTGCCCTTGGAGAAGTCCTGGCAGGCTGACCAATCCCACTAAGATTTATAGCTTTAGACTGCCACTCCTTTCAAAACAGCTCCATGCTTTGCCGAAGCTCCAGACTTCATAGTAATGTGAGAACAGTGACTTGATTACAGGCTTTGATTCAGTGTGACAATCAGCGGGTTCTGAAAAAGTAAAGAAAGCTTTGACGCCTCAAAGTTTATATATTACACCTTTCCACAAAGCACAGCTTCAAAAGAAATGTTTTATTTTTTGAGCAGCAGAAACTGATAAGAAACAAAAAACAAACAGCACCCCTCAAAAACTACAGTATTACATACAGTACAATATTACATTTAAACAAAATGAATAAACAAGGTTTTAACAGAGCACGTGGTACAGTAGTAGTGCACTATGGGAAGCTGTAAACGGTACATATACAGCTGTGGACGGAGCTCCGCTCATTTGTGTTGGACGGTCAGTAGGTAAGACCTGCTGCGCTCTGTAACTCACTCACCTCCACTTGAAGTCTGTCGGGTTCTCTGAACAACATCAGTGCAGAACCGAGCTGTGATTCTCAGCAGAACAGTGTCAGGATGGTTCTCTGAGAGTTCTGCTTCTCAGCTCAGTGAAGGAGAGAGAGAGAGAGAGAGGGAGAGAGAGAGAAAGAGAGAGACGTCTGTGGGAAAGAATTCATCACTAAACTCAGCCGCGCAGATTAAAGCCTCAGAGCTTCACCCTGAGTTTTTACCCTGAATTTCCCGCGAAAACGGTTCACTCTTCTTACGAGGCTTAAGTTAAAATCCTTTTTGAATTGTCCGTTCCACCTTAAATGGTCAGCAGTCACAGCTTCGCGCCTCAGACTCCCCAGCGAGCAAAAACATGTTAAAACGACGTCTTTATTACGTCTTACCTGGTCGTCTAAATGACGTCCTCAGAGAGTGCAGAATGAAAGTTTTTAAGACGTCTTTTAGACGTCACCTTTTAGACGTCCTGTAAACGTTGAAATCTAGTCTTGCGTGTTGACATCAGTTATGTGCAAAAAACATGTAAATTGCTTTTTAATTTCCATTTAACTTAAAGGCTGAATGCTTAACTAAATTAATGGCATGTCGATACTTGGAAAAGAATTTTATTTTATTTCAACTCAGAGAGAGAGAGAGAGAGAGAGAGAGAGAGAGAGAGAGAGAGAGAGAGAAAGAGAATAATAACATTTTAACCTCTTAGACTCCTTAAGTATAAAACCTTTCAGTTACAAACAAGTCATTGCAGTTACATAATAAGTCATTGTAGTTACTGAACTACTTTCAAAATAAGTTAACTAAATAAGTCTGTGCTTAAAGGGGTTAATGATCATATCCCACACCCCCCATTCTTCCAGGTGCATGTTTCAAGTGGTCAGATGCTGCAATCCGGATCTCCGCTTCAGTGGCACTTTTGTCCCATTTCATAACGGCAGCTACAACATGAATTTCATACATATTAATCATAAAACAAAGTCGAAACTCCCACCAATTATTAAAAATTATTTTCAGAATATATGAAAACACTTACCTTTAATTACAGAATACAGGTGTGTGTCTTCAAGGGCCTTCTTTTTCTTTTTCCCCTTTCCCTTCATGTTGAAGCTGCCCATGAGGTTGTTAGTTAAGAGCCTTAGAACAATAAAAATAGTCAATACATGAGCCAATTTAAGGGGAGCCTGGCCACCTCCTATTTCTCCAGTTATTAAAAACATGACTGCAAAATGCCAGGGGTGCCCACAATTGAGTCCATAAGGAATGGGGCTGAATGGAGCTAAACTGCTAAAAAGTTAAAATAGTTTCCAACCACCAGTACGTTCTTTGAATTTTGGAAAGTAGAGGGACATATTTCACTGAAAAAGCAAAAACTTGCCTGTCTATTTCCTTTTTTCTGCAACAGATTTTAGGC